TCAGAATTAGAGTTTACCCACTTCTCAATTGATCTAAATGCACATCATAGTATACTGTAGTTTATGCACAAAATGTGATCACAGAATTCGTAGTTCACCCACCTCTTATTTTACCACTACACCCCTGATCACTGAGAATGAGATGCACAGTATGTAACATGTCATTCATTCAGCAAGAAATGATGGATATTAACACAAATACTGAAGGAAGAAATGCTTTAGCACTTTTATACCTAATTCATATGCAACAAGTTCCAAATTTCAGTTTAGCACAGTAACATAAATGTGACCTGGGAGATGTAACAGCCTCCGTTTAAATGGGCTACTTTAGGGGATAAATAACATTAGTAATATGTTTTGTTCAGGTTTTGATGCGTATAAAAAGTATGGATAAATATTAAAATAAGCACGTTGTAACTGGGTCATATGCATGAATATCTTACAGCTGTATAAATAACAGTGTTTCATTTGTCCCTAATTTGCATGTTCAGATTCCCCAGAGCTGTCAGTGGACAAACAGGAGGTGACGGGTGTGGAAGGAGACAGTGTCAGTGTCCAGTGTCGCTATGGAGACAGTGTAAATAAGAAGCTGTGGTGTAAAATCGGGGGCTCCTGTGTGTCAGAGAGATCTGGGAGCTGGGATCTGGATGGGAGGCCTGTCCTGATCAGGGATGACACAGTAAATAGAGTCTTCATTGTGAAAATAAGGGCACTGGAGAGGAAGGACACTGGCTGGTACTGGTGTGATGCTGGAGGCTTGCAGATCCCAGTTCATATTACTGTCAAACCAATAATCATCACTGAATGTAAGTAATTAATATAAATCTGGCTGTGAATAATTTGTGCTTCAGTAGAAATAGCGAAACAACAAATGAGGCAGTTTCACCCATGAAGGGGGTCTGTGCGTTTTATAGTGATAATCTATAGGGGGGCTGTGTGTCTTTAAACTCCCTTATTGATAACTTTTGCTGAACAGAGTTATTTATTGGGATTATAGGTTCTGTGCTAGTGGTACAGTGGACCAGTGGGTGGAGCTGTTGCTTCACACCTCCATGTTTAGGGGTTTTGTGACGACCCTGGCTTTCTTAGCCTGTGGTCTATGGGTTTTTGTTATCGTTTCAGGTGATTGTGGGCGGAGTCCAATCTGATTGACCAGGCGCACCTGGGCCCTGTGCACCTGGGCAATCATTTAAAGACCCTGCAGTTTGTTAACTTTTTCCCCCTTTTCTTTTGTCTTTTGTTTTGCTGCACTTGTGAGAGGCTGGTCTGCACCTTTGGCTGCCGGGAGCTGCTGCCGGCTGCGGTTTCCTGGACTGAGTCGTGGATGCCATGGCCTGCCATAACTTTTTCTTTTATGTTGTGCTTGTGTTACATTCTATTTTTTTTTTGTTATTTCATTAAAAACCTTTTAACTGACAACGTTACTTATGCGTCTGCCCCATTTGATTTGTTGCGGCTTTGAGCCGGTCGTAACAGTTTGAATTTAGCTACTGCTCTGCTTATGTGGAGTTTCCATGTTCTCCATGTGCTGTGTGTGTCAGGGTCAGCCCCTGCTGTGGTCCTACCGTGTCCCTTCCCCGTTTGACCAGCAGGTGTTGCTGGTCATCCCGTCCTTCATGTTAGTCTTTGAGTTTCCCCTGTTACCTGTCTGGTCTTGTGGCTCAATGTGTAGAGCAGGTGGTTGTCTGTAAACCCTTCTGTCCTGAGTACCCTTCTGTCCTGAGTACCCTTCTGTCCTGAGTACCCTTCTGTCGTGTGTTTGAATCCCACCTCCT